GAGGGTATTAAGTTAGGCTGGGAGGTGTGTGGCCTTTCTTCCTACTGCCCTTCCAATTAACCGGCACTTCGCTTGGTAAATGTTAATTTAGAGGACGGAGGAAGCCCGGCCGGCAACAATGCAGCCTCTAAGGCAGGTTAATTGCTGCTAAGTGTTGCGCCTGCAGCCCGAGCCCCCCCCTCCCCCCGTGAGGAAGGGTTTCGGAGTCCAGGCTGAAACCCTGGAGGGTCAGCTGAGGCTTAACCCCTTGGTGACCACACGAGGGCGGAGAAAAACCCCAGTGGGTCCTCCTGGGTTTTTGAGCAAGGGTGTGTGCTCACGGTGCGCCCCTGGCCTGTGAGACGGGCAGCTGGGACCCCTTCCACGGGTTTGTCCTGGGAGTCAGGTATCCATCAGGAGAATGTTGGCAAAAATGCTTCAGGCCACCATAGCATCAGCTAGCACCCACCCCTAGCCCCTCACGTAATCACCATTTGTTTTTTGCTATGAGAAAGGTTAAGACTTAGTCTCGTAGCAACTTACAAGTATGCAGTACGGCATTACTAGCTATAATCACCATGCTGTACGTTAGAGCCGCCAAACTTGTTAATCTTATAACCGGAAGTGTTAAGACCAATATCTTCCTTTGACCAGTATCTTCCCATCCTCCCTCCCCGCCCCCAACTACCATTCTTGCCTTCTATGAATTTGGCTTTTTTAAATTCCACATATACATGATTTACATATGAAATACATATCATGTAGCATTTGTCTTTGTCTGGCTTATGGCACTTAGCATAATGTCCTCTCAGGTTGCATCCAAGTTGTTGAGAATGGCAGGATGTCCTCATTTCTCATGGCTGAATAATATAGCTCATTTATCTTATATACATGGATCATATGTCTATCTCACATCTTCTTTATCCATTCATCTGTTGAAGGACATTCAGGTTGTGTCCACATCTTGCTTATTGTGAATAATGCTGCAATGAATATGGGAGTGCAGATATCCCCTCGAGATGCTATTTTCATTTCCTTCTTTTTTACTTTTAAGATTTTATTTATTTATTTATTTAAGAGAGTGAGAGAGCACGAACAGAGGGAGAGGGAGAGGCAGGTTCCCGCCGATCAGGGAGCCCGATGCGGGGCTCCATCCCAGGACCCTGGGATCACGACCTGAGCCGAAGGCAGACGCTTAACCTACTGAGCCACCCAGGTGCCCCCATTTCCTTCTGATATATGCCCAGAAGTGGGATTCCTGGATCATATGGCTGTTCTAGTTTTAATTTTTTGAGGAAACTCCCTGCTGTTTTCCATAGTGGCTGCACCATTTGTGGATTCTTTCAATGGATTACCTATTCGAAAAATAAAATTTTAAAAAGGATATCCATTCGGCAAGAAGCTCCTACGCTCCTAAGCACCCTTGTGAGCGGAGGGTGTAGTTATGAGCCGGGCAGGGTTCAGACAGGCAGAGGGAGTGAGGAAAATCAGGAAGCCACAAATATGCCAGTTCTGTGGTGGCCAAGGTTGCAAGGAAGCAGCCCCTATAGATCATCTCTCTGTTCCGAGACTGATCCCATCCACCTCACCCCCCAACACACAAACCTTTTCTCCTCCCCACCAACCTAGGTGGATTCCTGGCCTCTTTTCAGAAAGGGTAGAAACAGAAAGTTCAGAGTAGATGCTGTCCCATTTCCAGTGCTTTCTCTCACAAGATCAATTCAGAGCACTGGAACCCAGCACAGGAGTGGCAGGGGTGGAGGGGAAGATGGACGGAGGGAAAAGACCTTTTGAGGAGGGCTTCGAGAGTCAGCTCATTCTTCCGCTGAATCATCTATACTCAGAGCTGCTGGAGGCGGCACCAGGGCTGGGATCACAGGCGGGCCCGCTGGGCGGCTGCTGCCACACCATCTTCTACCACGTAGACTCCAGAAAGAGGCAAGATGGGTGGAAATGAATTTACTGGAACTTCTCACAAAGATTATTCTGTGTGGTTACAAGATTTCAATAAATCTCTTTTTTTAGAGGGGAAGGAGGAATGAGTCATCTGAGTGACATGCTTGGGTAAGAAACTGTGTCAGAGTAGAGTGGGCTGGGTTTGGGTTTCACCAGGGGGGCCGTGGGCACATTTGTAGGCAGAGCTCATTTTGCCAGCTCAGAAGAGAAGCCGCGCTGGCGGCCGTCACCTACAATCCTCCTTCTCAAACGGGGCGCAGCCTCTTCAAAAAGTAGCGGTTTGGGGGACAACAGCGTGGCTCGGTTGAGTGTCTGACTCTTGGTTTTGGCTCAGATCATGATCTCAGGGTCCTGGGATCGAGCCCCACAGTGGGCTCCACGCTCAGCAGGGAGTCTGCTTGAGATCCTCTCTCTCTCTCTCTCTCTTGCTCTCTCTCAAATAAATAAATAAATCTTTTTTAAAAAGCAGCTGTTTGGTACAATATCATTTATGTAAAAATGGACAGGGGGCTATATATATGTATGTGTGTATGTATGTGTATATATGCATGCGTGTATGTATACATATGTTAGTCCATGCATGAAGTATCCTGGAAGGATCCAGCAGTGTGTTCACACTGGGTGCCTCCAAGGGGAATTGAGTAGCCCAGAGATTGTCTCAGTTAGGAGATGGGATAGGCTGCTGTAAAAAGTGACCCCAGGATACAAGGTTTAAACAAGATAGCATTTCATTTCTCTCCCACATACCAGGGCTGGTATAATGGCAATGAAGGGTCAGGGACTCCCAGGCTCCTTCCGTTTTGTTGTTCTGCCATCCCTACGGTGTTGCCCAGCTCTGCATAGACAAGGACGGCTCCCCACCACATCTGCATTCTGGCCAGCAGGAAAGGGGGAGTCAAGGAATGAGCAGGCACATCCATGTCCTTCAGAGGAGCCCCACAATGTTGAGCACGCTGCTCCACTCACCTACCATTGGGCAGAACTCAATCACTTGGCCACACCGAGGAAGTGTCCTCAGCTGAGCAGTCATGAGCCTGGCTAAAATTAGGGGCTTTATTTCTAACAGAAGAAGGAAAGAATAGACAGAAGGGGACAACTAGTGGTCTTTATTTGCACTAGGATGAAGAGGACATTTTCACTTTATATATCCATCTTATACCTTTCAAACCATGTGCATTAAGAAAAATTTTAAGTTGGAACAATATATTACATTGGAGGTCACAAATTGAGCACATGCATCCACCTCTCCACTATGCCATGGACTCATTAGAATAAAATATAAAGTATTTTTAAAAGAATTAAATCATATCAGTGCTAGAAAACAAGAGAGGGTGGCAGCAGATCAGAAAGTCTGAGAAAGGGGCGCCTGGGTGGCTCAGTTGGTTAAGCGACTGCCTTCGGCTCAGGTCATGATCCTGGAGTCCCTGGATCGAGTCCCGCATCAGGCTCCCTACTCGGCAGGGAGTCTGCTTCTCCCTCTGACCCTCCCCCCTCTCATGCTCTCTCTATCTCATTCTCTCTCTCAAATAAATAAATAAAATCTTTAAAAAAAAAAAAAAAAAAAAGAAAAAAGAAAGTCTGAGAAAATGCAGGAAGCTGGAAGTAGATGGAAATGGATTAACTGAGAAAGAGCAAAAGGTAAACCATAGGCCCTAACTCCAGGACCAAGGACTTCCTTCTCAAGGGAGTTCCAGAGAAGCTCCCAACTCAGACCCAAGAACTCAAAAACAGAAATACAGGGCATCACCAGAATAACTGAGCAAAGGACTGCACGTAGTAGGGGCCCTCACCTTTCTCCCTTGCCCCTACCCCCAAACCATAAGGAGAAACTGTGTTTCTTGGGTCCCTACAACTCAAAACTTACTCTCCAAAAACTGTGGATGATCTATCCTAAGGGATAGATCCTAATATGGGTGTCAAAACTCAACAGAGAAGTGGAATAGAGCTTAAAGACTCTGTAGACATTCACAAGGGACATTTATGTCAGGGGAGTAGGGTATTGCTCAGTCCAAAAGGAGAACATAGTGAAGTGCTCCAGTCCGTTACTGAAAACTCTTCTTACAGTGGCAAGTATGAACACCCACAGCTTGCAATCTAGAGGTAAGCCTGCTGACAACACAGCCCAACCACTCACAGCAGCCTATAGCCAGCCCTCCTCTTCAAAAAAGAAGCCGCCTGGGAAATGGGCCTTACCAGCTACTTAGGCAGATTAATCTAGTCCTTCATTTATGAAAGGGGATGGACAGCCACGGGTCACCAAATGTTTGAGGAAAAGCAATAGCAGGAAAGCTAAACAAAGAAAAATAAAAGGAGCCACCTTGGAAAAAACAAGACACAGTAGGGAATGTTCAAGAAGAAAACTCTAAGTATCTTTGGACAGATTTGAGAGTATGTTAAATCTCTAAAACAAGAGCTAGCTGCCATTAAAAAGGGAGCCATCAGGAGAACAAGAAATCATTTCTGTACATTTGAAAGGACTGTCAAAATTTAAAAATCCAGCAAACAGAAGGAATAATATGGCCAAGACTTAAAACCAGACCAGTTATCAGGAAGTCAATGAAATCTACAACACAGGAAAAAACACAAAGCAGTGAAAAATGAAAGAAAAGTCCATAGACGGAGGAAAGATCCAGGAGGTTCACATCCATTCATTCAATAGGAGTGTAAGAAAGAACAACAAAACAACAAAGATTAAAAAAGAAAAGAAAAAGGAAGGGGGGAGGGACGCCTGGGTGACCCAGTGGTTAAGCGTCTGCCTTCAGCTCAGGTCATGATCCCAGGACCCTGGGATCGAGCCCTGCATGGGGCTCCCTGCTCTGCGGGAAGCCTGCTTCTCTCTCTCCCACTCCCCCTGCTTGTGTTCCCTCTCTCGCTGTGTCTCTCTCTGTCAAATAAATAAATAAAATCTTTAAAAAAAGAAAGAAAGAAGAAGGAAGGGGGGGAGATCAAAGACATAACAGAAAATTTTTCTTAGCTAGGGGAAAACACAAATCTTCAGATTGAAAGAGCCCCCACCAAGTACCAAGCAGGATAAATAAAAACAAGATTCAGACTTAGATACTTACCAAAATTTCAGAACTCCAAGAACAATGATAAAATCTCAAAGTCTTCCAGAAAGAAAAAAAATAGGTCAGCTACCAAGGAGTGCAAATTTGACTAACATCAGACTTCACATCAAAAATACTTTTAAACCATACCTTTAAAATTCCAATCAACTATGAACTTGAGCCTAAATTATACTTTCAGCCAAATCAGCAGTCAGCTGTGCTGGGAAATCTTACGATGACGGCACTCAAATGCACAAATCACTCAAGGGGGTACTGCAGCAAAGCAAAAGGAATGCAAGAGTGCAAGGAACATGAGATTAAAACAAACTAATAAAGGACCGTGATAGCTGAGTAACAGTGAGGAAAGTAAAAATGAAATTAAAAGGCAGCTTTGACATAGGGACTATAATCAATAATACAGTAACAACTCTGTATGATGACAGTTGGTCACTAGGCCTACCACGGTGATCAAGTCATCATGTATACAGATATCGAATTACTATGTTGTACACCTGCAACTCATAGGATATTGTATGTCAACTATAATTCAATTTAATTAACTTTAAAAATAAAGTGGGAAATTCCATTAAAAAAAGAGATAGCTTTGAACCTTGACAATTTTGTGGTCGTCAAGTACGTAGGATTTTCTTTATTTCACTGTAGATCTGATTTCATTTTGTTCTGCTGTGATTAATATTTACATAACCACAGTATGGTAAATGCTATTTTTATTGGGTTTAAGTATTCAGAGGTTCAAGCCTGGAAGACTTGACTATGGTTCTGGAACAGAATGTAAATGTTATAAACCATGAAAGTAGGAAGAATGACGATGGTATGTATTGATGTGGAAGAATGCACACTCTGTGAGGAAGCAAATGTAAGTTGTAGAGTAATAGGAATAGTATGACCCCATTGATATATATACATATTGTTATAGATGTATTTTACATGCCCAGTAAAACACCTGGAAAACCATCATTCACTTTTACTTTCTACACTTCTGTATCTTTTTTAATTTTTAACAAGCAGGCATAGCTTTTGTGATTAAAAAATTTTAAATAGAAATATTAGTTTGAAGATTTACTTAATTATTAGCCTGCCTGAGGGACTTGGGGTTTTTGGTAAGGCCCAAACAAAAAACCCTGAGTAAAAAGAACTACATGTTGTGGAACCCACAATCTAAAGCGAGGCAGAAATGTTGGCTGTTCTAAATTTGTAAAAACGAAACAAAACAAAACTCTCTGCAGTCCAAAAACCAGTGAAAGATCAACACTGCCATCTGCTGAAGACTTCTTGGAGAATAGGCTGAGTTGGGAAGGCTTTCTGTTTTGTTTTATAAATAATATTTATTACCTCCTGAGACCGGCACAGACCTGAAATCTATCTTCTACCAGGAGCAATGGACTACTAGCAATATGAGTAAGAAATCAGGATCATACAGAGAGATGCCTGGGAAGCCATGGCAATGGTTCCAGAAATGGAGTTTTGTTCAGCCTAGCAAAGAGCTGGCCCAAGGGACAACATGGTCTCCAATTTCTGACACGGCTACCCTGGGGCAAAGGCTTGGTGTGTGGGACCAATGACGAGGAGAGATAGCATACTGGAAAGGACCTTTTCATAAGTATTCCTCTCTAAAAATAACTTACACTGTCCTGTGAAACAGTGAATGCATCCCTGGTCACTAAAAATGGTAGGGAGGTGGGGTAACCCTCCATCTTGAGGTTACAGAAAGAATGTCTGCATTTCTGAGAAGTTAGATTACATGGCCCTGGCATGCAGGCATTCGATAAATTCCTATTGGGTGCCTACTATATGTCAAGTACCGTGCCAGTCCCCTTACACCCAGAGACACAGATCCACAGACTGGTTTTTGGAATGACTCCAACAAAGCGAAGGCACCAAAGAGTCCAGAAGGAGTCAAACTAGATCTGGTGAGCCATCTACCAAACCCAACTCGTGTTTAGCGAGCACTGGATTTCCATATCACACTCATCCACATTTAGGACACATTCCTTAAAAACTTGGGCCCTAGGGGCGCCTGGGTGGCTCAGTTGGTTAAGCGTCTGCCTTCGGCTCAGGTCATGATCTCAGGGTCCTGGGATTGAGGACCGCATCAGGCTCCCTGCTCAGTAGGGAGTCTGCTTCTCCCTGTCCCTCTGCCTCTCTCCCTGTGCACACTCTCTTTCTCTCAAATAAATAAATATTAAAAAAAAAAACAAAACAACCTAGGCCCTACAATTTAACAAACCAAATTCTTGTTCCTTTTTTTTTTTTTTTAAGATTTTTTATTTATTTATTTGAGAGAGAGAGAATGAGAGACAGAGAGCATGAGAGGGAGGAGGGTCAGAGGGAGAAGCAGACTCCCTGCTGAGCAGGGAGCCTGATGCGGGACTCGATCCCGGGACTCCAGGATCATGACCTGAGCCGAAGGCAGTTGCTTAACCAACTGAGCCACCCAGGCGCCCAATTCTTGTTCCTTTTTAAAGTGAAGTTTGAAAATACCGACATCCAAATAAGATTAAAGCAGACTTCATTCACTGATTAGTTTTTAAAAGAAACATAAGGAAAAACTGTATTAGGATCACAAAATATTAGAACTGGAAAGACTTCCCAAATCCTCTGGTTCACTACATTTATAAGCTGGGCTGAGTTCTGGGATGCTGTAAGTAAGCATTCTTAGTGTTTTTTAATCTGGAAGGACAGTACAAGAATAATAGGAAGACGTGAATGATATGTATAGAATTTGTTACATTGTCAATGTTCAGTAAGTATTTAAGTATAAAAAATATTCTTTTACTTTAAATAATTTAAAGCAAAAATTCAAACTTCATCTTACTAAAAGGTGCTGGGTTCTAAGAAACAGCCCACTGTCTTAGGAAAAAAAAAATCAAGTGAGAGAAGAATACAAAGAAAAGGACATGGGCGTAGCTGATGTAAGAAGTAAACAGAATAACAAGAGGGAAGCCAGGGATTGGTGGGGCCACGAGGAAGGATGAAGGATGGGAAGCTAGAGCCTGGAATTCCTGTATAAAGAGCTCGCAGACTCTCCATCTGGGAAGCCCCAGGGTGGAAGACTTTGCTTCTGGAAAGTAAATACCCAGCTCCATAGCTGCATTCTGTCGGATTAGCTCATATCCATCCAGGATTCCTGAAACTGGATGTTCATTCGACAAGCTCTTCTTGAGGCCTGCTGTGAGCCAAACCCTGTGCTGGGCCTCAGAGGGTCACAGTGAACCACCTGGTCCTTGTTGTGGGGAGGTTCATTTCTAGCTGCAGAGGCCAGCCTTGGAGCTATCCAAGGACAAGGCCTTCGAGGGAAGGTGCGTACACTGGGACATGGCTTCATAAAGAGAGTGTGGCAGGGAGTTCTGCAGAGAAGACAACCCTAACAAGTAGAACTGGGCCTCTGACAGGACACCCCAATCATGCCATGCCCCTCAGAAGCGAAGGGCCCAGTAGAGTTAGCCTCCAAATAATCACCAAACCGGTTTTGTTAGTGCTCAGGTGCTAGGAAAGGGAAAGGTGTGCTTCCTTCAAGGTGAAGAGGGAGAGAAAAGTCCTGAAAATTCTATGCGGGTTAAAATGGGAATGAAGTGACTGGGAAATGTTGCAGGGCATCTCTGATCTACCAACATGTTGCAGTATGCACCAGTAGTCCATTCCTTTTTCTTCCCGAAGAGTAAACCACTCCATAAACAGAACACCTTAAAAAAAAAAAAAAAATCAATCCACCAGTGGGTGGACATTTCGATTGCTTCAATTTTGGGCTATGATGCTGCTATGAACATTCACCCACAATTCTTTGTGTGGATGTTTTCATTTTTCTTGGATTAGGGTTGCCAGATTTAGCAAGTTAAAATATAGGACACCCAGTTCAGGTGAGTTTTTTAGTATGTCTCATGCAATATTTGAGACATACTTAAATAAATAAAAAATTATTTGTTGTTTACCTGAAATCCAAATTTAACTGGGAATCCTGTATTTTATCTGCCAATCCCATTCAGTGTAGATACGTAAAAAATGGAATTGTCATATAGCAGGTTCATATTTGACTGTCTTAAGAAACTGTCCATCTGGTTTCCAAAGGGACTATACCCCTTTACATTCCAGCAATGTATGAAGATTCTAGTTTTTCTCATCCTCACCAACACTTGGCATTGTCTTTTTGATTATAGCCATTCCAGCAGGCATGGAGTGGTTTTCATTATGGTTCTAAATCTCATCAACAGTCTTCAAGAAATTGTGTTTATTAGCCATTCATAGATATTCTTGGGAAAATGTCTATCAGATCTTTTGACCATTTTTCAATAGGATCATTTGTCTTCTTGAGCTCTAAGATTTGTTTATGTATTCTGAATACAAGTCCTTTATCAGATATATAATTTGTAAATTCTTTCTCTCCATCTTTTGGCTTGACTTTTCATTGACAAAGATTTTTAAGCCCAAAAGATTCTAATTTTGATGATGTCCAACTTATCAATTTGCCTTTTTAATGGTTTTTGCTTCTGTTAGTTGAAATCTTTGCCTAACCCAAGGTCAAGAAGAGCTTCTCCTGTTTTTTTTCTAGAAGTTATATAGCCTTTTACCTTTATCTGTTTGCTTTTACCTTTAGGTCTACAATGAAGGAAGGGCCAAATTACTTCCTTTCTCCCTTTTTTCCTCTTAATATGGGTGTCCAATTGTTCCAGCACCATTTATTGAAAAGACTGTCCTTTTTCCTATTGAGTTGTCTTGGCACATATGTCAAAGATCACTTGGTCATATATGCAAGGGTTTATTTCTGGATTCTCAATACTGTTCCATTGGTCCATATTGCCTATCTTCATGTCAATAAAACACTGTCTTGATTATTGCAGCTTTATAGTAAGTTTTGAAATTGGGTAAGGTTGTCTTCAAATATTCTTTTTCTGTTCTTTTCAAAAATGATTCTATTTTAGATACTTTGCATTTCCATATAAGTTTTAGGATCAGTTTGTCAACTCCTAAACAAAGAAAGAATCCTGCTGGAATACTGATAGGGTTTGAGTTGAACCTATGGAGTAATTTGGGGAGAACTGCCATTATAATAGTACAGAATCCTCTAATCCACAAACATGGAATGTTTCTTCATTTATTTAGATCTTTATTACTCAGGAATTTTGTAAATTTCAGTGAAATTAATCTGTTTCTATGTTCTATTTGTGCTATTGTGAGTGGATTTTTTTTTTTTTAATTTGGGGGGACTGTTCTTTGCTAATATAGCAGATTTCAATAGATCTTTTGTGTATTGGACTTGTATTCTATAGCCTTGCTAAATTTACTAGTTCTTGCTATATTTACTAGTTCTAATAGTTTTGTGGATTCCTTAAAATCTTACAGGATCGTGTCATTTGTGAATATAGTTTTACTCCCCTCCCCCCCTTTAAATGACTTTAATCTTTTTGGGGAGGAGGGTGGGAGCTGGATAGAACCTCCACCACAAGGTTGAATAGAAATACTGAGAATGGATATTCTTGACTTGTTCCTGATTTCAGGAGAAAAGCACTCTCCTCCCATTAAGTATGTTAGATGTGGTTTTTCACAGATTGAAAAGTCCTTCATTAGGTTGAAGTTGCCTTCTACTACTTTGCTGAGTATTTATCATAAATGGGTGTTGAATTCTGTCCAATGCTTTTCCTGTTGTCTATTTAGTTGATCATATGGGTTTTATCATCTTTTATTAATATGGTGTAAAAGATTGATTTTTGGTATGGTAAAACAAGCTTGCAGCACTTGGATACACCCCATTTGGTCCTGGTGTATAAACCTTTTTATTTGTTGCTGGATTCAGCTTGTTAATATTGTGTTAAGGATTTTGTATCTATCTTTGTGGGATTTAAATATAGGTATTTAAAAGTATAAATTTCCCTTTCAGCACTGTTTTAGCTACATACCATGAATTTGGATGTTTTCATTTTCATTTAGTTAAAATTATTTTCTAATTTCCCTTGTGATTTCCTCAATATGAGTTATTTAGAAAATGTGTTAATTTCCATATATTTGGGGACTTCTTTCTGTTGGTGACTTTTTTTTTTATTCTTATGTTAATCCCCATACATTACATCATTAGTTTTAGATGAAGTGTTCCATGATTCATTGTTTGTGCATAACACCCAGTGCTCCATGCAGAACGTGCCCTCCTCAATACCCACCACCAGGCTAACCCATCCTCCCACCCCCCCCCCAGATCTGTTGGTGACTTCTAATTTAATTTCAACATGGTTGGAGACGATACTTCCTATGATTTCAATTTTGTTGAGACTTATTTTATGGCACAGCATATGGTCTTCCCTAGAGAATGTTCCATGTGGACTTGAAAAGAATGTGTGTTCTGCTAGTGGTGGGTGGTGGTCTACAAATGTCAGGACAAGTTGACTAACAGCGTTCTCTTATATGCTTTTTCGTCAGGTTCTTCTATCAATTACTAAGAGTAGGATATTGAAATCTCCAAATATTATTTTCGAATTGTCTATTTCTCCTTCCAAATCTGTCACTTTTTCCTTCATGTATTTTGGGGCTCTGTTGTTAGGTGCATATACATTAATAGTTGTTATATCTCCCTGATACAGTGACCCTTTTTAAAATCATTTGAAATGTCCTCTATTTCTAGTAATATTTCTTGTCTCAAAGTCCACTTTGCCCGATATTAATATAGCCATTCCAGCTTTCTTATGGTTACCATTTGCACAGTATATATTTTTCCATACCTTTACTTTCAAACTATTTGTCTTTGTATCTAAAGTATGTCTCTTGTAAACACCATATAGTTGAGTTTTGCTTTTTTTTTTTTATCCATTCCAACAACTTCTACCTTTTGAGTATTTAGTCCAATCACATTTAATGAAATTATTGGTATAGAGTTATGGCTACCATTTTGTTATTTGTTTTTCAAATGTGTCATATCTTTTTGCTTCTCTGTCCCTCTCTTGCCGCCTTCTTTTGTTTAACATTTTGATTTCTGTTGATTTTTTAACTCTATTTTTTTGAGTATTGTGTTAGTGCCTGCTCTAGGGACTACAATAATATGCATTTCAATTTATCACAGTCTTCTTCAGATTAATACTAACATAATTTCAATAAAACATAGAAGTTTATTTCAATATAGCTCCATTTCCTACTCCCTCCTTTGTGCTATTATTATAAAATACATTGCATCTATGTTAGAGTGTTATCATTACTGCTTTATACAATAATGTGCCATTTAAAAAAGAAAAATATTTATTGTGTAGGCAAATGTCTCCCCAAGATTCCCATCCTCTGGCTATTCAATCAAGGTACTGCCACGAAAGGACTTTACAAATGAAATTAAGGTTACTAAATGGGGAAATGATCCTAGATTATCCAGATGGGCCCAATGTAATCACACTGTAATGACATATAACCTATGAACAATAGAAGAGGGAGGTAGAAGAGTCCAACAGAGAAAACTGCAGTGGAAGAGAGAAACGAGATGAGGCAGAAGAGGAGATCAGAGAGATGAAGTATGAGAAGGACCCACATTACTGTTGCTGGCTTTGAGGATGGAGGAAAGGAACCAATAGCCAAGAATTGTGAGTGGCTTCTAGAGTTGAGAACAACTCCTCTGACAGCAAGGAAATGGGGACCTCAGTCTTACAACCTCATGGAGCCGAATTTTACCAACAACCTGAATGAGCTTGGAAGTGAATTTATCCTAACCCTCTAGAAGGAATGCAGTACAGCCAACACCTTGATTTTGAACTTCTAAAACATGGAGCAGGCGGCAGGGAGTCTGCTTCTCCCTCTGACCCTCCCCCTTCTCATGCTCTCTCTCTCTCTCATTCTCTCTCTCAAATAAATAAATAAAATCTTTAAAAAAAATAAAAAAAAGTAAAATAAAATAAAAATAAAACATGGAGCAGAGAACCAACTCAGCCACATTATACTTGGACTTCCAAACTACAGAAGCATGCGATCATAAATGGGTATTGCTGTAAATGAGTACATTTGTGGTAATTTGTTACGTCAGTAATACATGTACACAATCCTTTATATTTACTCCTATATTTACCATTTCCAGTAGTCTTCCTTCCATCCTGTGGATTTGAGTGACCATATGTTATTTTCATTCTTTGAAAGCAGATCCACAGGCAGCAAACGGAGTCTTTTTATCTCTTTAGTTTGCCACCTTACTTTTTGCCTTCATTTTTCAAAGCTAATTGTATCCAAATCCAACCAAAAATCCCTGGAGCTTCCTGAAAGTGCAAGCATCACCCATGAACCCACAGTCCCTCCGTTGGTCTTGAGTCAGAGATTCCCAAGGGGACTGTTATCCTAAGCAGGCTTTAAGATTAGATGTAGAAATACCAGACATTCTGGGGCCTACAGGGGAGAGTGGCAACTTAATCGGAATCTGCAGGCCCTAAATCTGAGTCAAAACCACAGGGTGGATTTCCAGCCCTTCCGAGCTGGCTAGAGGGGCCTGGGGCAGCAGGAGTCACCTCCCCTACACTCTTGTGAATCCAATAGTTGGTAAAAGGAAGGAAAGATCTGAGCTTGGTGTATAAAAGTCTGCTCCGTTGTACCCGGTGCCCCCCCGAGCCTCCCCTACTCAGGAACCAGAGAGAAGTGTGCCAGTAGGTCATCCATAGCATATTCTGCCTGTACTGTTTTTAATTGCTGTAGCCTGTTCAGATCTGGGTAGGTCTGCTACATATTGAGAACATCTAGAATGTTCAGCTTTCTAAGTTTTAGGGGGTTTTGTTATTTTTATGAGAGATTTTTGAGGCCTCATTCTCTCTCCTGGACACTGAGGTAAACACTAAGGCTGGCTCTGGGGCTTGCCCAGCTGCCACTGGGCCTCCCAAGCTACAAGGCTTTGAACTCCCAAATCAGACTCCCAGGGAACAAGCCAGGAGTGAAAAGAGTTCACAAAGTGGAAGGCCAGTGAAGGAGAGACGGCTACCCCTGAGCCTCTTATCTGCCCTCTCTGGCCTCACCCCTAAAAATCCACACCCAGTTCACCTTCATCCATTCCCTAAAGGCTCCTCTCAGTCCTCTGTCCCCTCAGTTGGCCACCATCTGTCCTAGTTCCAAAAATCAGGTGAGATCATACATATGAAAGCACTTGGAAAAACTCAAACACTAGGTAATGACAAGTGTGCAATCATTTCTCCACATCTGGAATTAAGTCTCAAACGTGCATTTAATCCATCCCTCACTGAGTGCCCACATCTATTTCAGCTTATGAATCCCATGACCGCCTGACTCCTCTTGTGAGTATCAGGGGTGCCAAGCAGCAGTTCTAGTGTTATTTTATGGTTGATGTTCATAACCTTTCCCACGTAGATTTTCCTTTTAAAATGTCTAACATTGGGGTACCTGGGTGGCTCAGTTGGTTAAGCGCCCGACTCTTTGGTTTTGGCTTATGTCATGATCTCATAGGTGAGTGGATGGAGCCCCCAAGACAGGCACCCCACTCAGGCTCAGAAGGGGGACTGCTTAAAGATTCTCTCCCTCAGCTCCTCCCCCCACTCGTGCACGTACTCTCTAAAATAAATCTTTTAAAAAAATAAAAATGCCTAACACTACCAAATAGTTTCTTAATCACATCTCCCTTTAAACAAAGAAGCAGACCTCCCTGTACACCATCTACTACAACATTGAGATCCCAAGTGTTTTCGTGCTGCCTACCACAGTATGTGCACATTTTATTATTGGTCTACACAAGTACTCCCCTTTACTTCCGATTTTTCTTACCTCTCTCAATGGATTCTTTCCCCTTAGAAATACTTAAGTGGCCAATCCCCCTTTATAATTCTATTCTTTCTAACAGAAAATAGTTAAGTTTCTTACCTTTTCCATTTCTCTTTAGCTCTCATAAAAACTCCTTTATTTCCGTAATGACTTAATATTATTTGTTTCTTTCCCAATTCTTAAAAATTATGCATGGCTGAACCATGCATGACTGAGCCTTAGATTTTATAACATCAAGTTTTTCTACTCATATTTCAGAATAGCCCCATTGTTTTGTAAATCTTCAACTGTAAAACAAACAAAAAAAAGTGCAGAGGTGTAAGACATGTCCATGAGACCACATATGTAAAAACATTTTTTCTAAGTTAGAAGAGACCAGTATAAAGCTGGTTCTGCTGTTTCTCTGAATCTATGTTTTAAAAATAATTCCACTTTTTTCCATCTTTCAACAAAAGCTCTACATCCTAGTGATGTGTCTTCTTTATTATGGAGAAGGAAAAAAAAAAAAATCCCTAAATCCAGTCTTTGAATTGAAGTGACAATCTGTAATTCAAGAGCAAGCCAATCCACAAAACCACTCCCAACTGTTTTGGGGGCCACATCTCCTCATTCACTATCTGCTGTTTTCTCATGAGCCAAGTTTCCACTCCCAGCATACTAACTGTTCAAATCTACTTAAAAAAAAAAAAAAGCCAAGCCTATTTCTACAAATTATGCCAATTCTCATAAATCCTTCAATTAGGAAAGATGAAAACACTCTAAATTTCCTTTGAAAATAACTGCAAAACTTTGAGAAACAAAGTAATAAGATCACTTTAACACAACCTCAGCAAATCTGCTGAGCAAGAGGCAACATAGTTCACAGGGAGGCAGGTCCCATCCTGCCCACTGTCAGACCAGCAACCCCTGCACACGTGGGAAGAAGCTACCACGCCCATGGAGGCACCTTGGGGCAGGCAGGCACTTCTCAACCACATTACGATGTAACTTGTACTGGGGAATAATCCAAAAATTCTAATATCTATCTACAGCAACTACATTTCATAACAGCATAGGCTCGGTCCAATATACACACTTTATTTTAAATTATGCCACTGGCACTTGGGAAAAAAAAGTCATTTATTTGCATTGCTTCCATTTTTCTACTGTAGTGTTAGGACTTGACATAAGCATCGCTCTTCTACTTCCTATTTACAACTCATTCAGAATATTACTACAAATACAATATACAACTTTTAAAAACTTATGGGGAACTGCAATTTTTGTTTTTCTTTCCTCTTTACAGTTTTCTCAAAATCATTCAACTTAAATGAAAATTTATATGGACATTTTCTGTACACATCTGAAAGGGCAGAGATCACACTGATAAAGCCAAGAGAATTTTGCACAAATACAATAAAATACAGAAAACAAAAACCATAAAAGATGTTATTAGGGGTACAAATATAAACAATACAGTACCATTTCAGTAATTTAGCAACATAACACTCATACTTCATAGAAATAAAACTGCAAACCTGGAGAATGCTCTGACAAATATTAAACATTATATATACAATGAGGTAAATGTACCTTGGTCTCTTGAGAGGTAATTTAAGTTTAAAGCAATTGACATTTTGAAGCATCTCCTTGACATATAAAGAAATCTCAAACACCCCGTTCCATTGGCACAATGTGAAAAAGGGATATCAAAACACGGTTCATGATATTCAGTTCACAAATCTTGTTAAAAAATAAAAACAAATTCACTTAGGTTCTTTTTTTAAGCTTTAAGAAACAGGTTGAATGTTATTAAACACATTCTTTAAAGTCTACAATTACAAGTAAGACTGCATAATGGTGTTGAAAAGTTTAAGTGTACTGACGATCCTCCGAATGTCTTAGAATTCCAGCATTCCCAGAGAGAGGGCCCAAGGGTAGTCCGGCATTCCGAAACAGACACAAGCAGCGACAGATTACACGTGCAGACCTATTCTTTAGGATCCCAGACATGTCTGAACTGGCATTTCCTGCCACGCGATCACAGAACCATCATTTGGAATCTCCATCATTTGGAGCCAGAACCCGGCCACAGTCAAGGAACCAACAGAAACAGCTGACTTAACAATCACTCTTTCGGTGCAAGGATAGAACTAAACTCTTGGCAGGACAGGTCTAAGGGGATCCTGACTTTGTTCTGCATTTTAATTAGCCCTATGCCATCTTGTTTATAAAATGTTCTATACGGGACAGCTCTCAGATGTAGAGGAGCAACTGAAGGTGGCTCATGCATGAGCTGCAGAATGGCCGAGGGACCACCGAAATTTTGTAACGAGAACTGAAATGTGGAATCCGTGGTGTTACTAACGATGTCACTGTGCACGGACTCAAGGCACTTCTTGAGCAGTCTCACGACAGCAGACTCACAGACTCCGCGCTTCGGGCCTCGCCCTGTCCCCTCCGGGACCCGATTTGCTGCTGCTTCTGGCTCAACTGCGGCTGCCCTGACTGCGGCCGCGCTGCCTCCCCATTCCTTGGCCGCAGCGCCAGTCAAAAGAAGGCAGCCGGCAGGGCCATCACCCACCCCACCTCCAAACCTGGAGAACCCTCCCAGCAACATCCAGTGACTCATGTCCCACCAACCAAGCTGACTTCCGTCAACCATTTTCCTCTGGATTTCCAAAGCAGCTGTTCAGTCAACAGGCTGCTGAGGGGAGGTGGGCGGGCAAGGCTGGTGGCAAGGCAATTCATCTCTGAGTCAGGGACCAGCAGGAAGGCAGGCTGAGAGAAACTTAAGCTAGAGGGAGGAGGGCGGGCCAGGGATTCCTGCGCCCCGCCGGGTCACACCTCCCTCATCCCCATTCCTCTGGGGTACTGACGAAGTGGATGTGGACAAGTAATTGGTCTGAAGGTATATTTTAAACCAAGTTTAATTTTGGAAGGTGAGCATCTGAAGATAGTCAGTATAAGCAAAGGCTTGTGAATCTAAATGAGAAAATCAATACTCTAGTCAAACGTATCTGCAGTTATGGCCACAGTAATCATGATCTATTTCATTTTTAAGTGACTTTCATTTTCAATATTAACTAATCGGAGTTTATCAAACTGTCATTAGCCAGAAAAGGAATTTGCTGCAGTAATATGTAAACCGAATTTAGAACTAAACTCCAACTTTTAAAAAAATTCCCTGACTCACCAAAAGTACATTTTATCCACTTAGGCAAGAATAGTATAATTGCAACTCAATCTTTGATTTAATAAAGAATATCTTCAGTAAAAGTTGATTACCTTATATGAAAGTGAGAAATCATGTATCTCAATTTTAAATCAGACAAGAACTTTTGGTATGTTCTTAAAATTATATAAAAATAGTTTTAGCATTGGTCCCCTGGATTTCAAAAACCAGATCTGGTAGGCATAGAAATGGCCAAGAAAAAAAAAAAAAGTACCTAATCAGAGAGCTAGAGATTAATAAAGAGGAAATATAACGTAATTATAAAACAAAGCCCTCAACGTCTGTCATTCATTTGCGTTGACAAAATCATGGTAACTACAGAAAAAAACTCAAATTTGGAGTCAAAATATTAACCTCTAAGCACATTTTTCCCCATGATGTTTTTAACACATGAAACTGACACTAAATTCCTATGCATATGTCATTCATTCTAAAATTACTTTGGCTTTAAGACCAAATAGTCTTTCAAATTTATTCTATGTATAAGAGAAAAGACATGATCAGAATGCAGCTCAGTCAGCGTAAATGGCCACTATCTCTTACTGACCAAATACTATAAAGGTTATTCTGACCCTTTCATTTGGAAATTGATAGCACTATAAAGTCAATGTCTTGCCTCACTGCTATGATAGTTTTTCTCCCATCAGAATAAGATCACAGTGATAAAGAGGACTCTGAAAACCGTAAAAGCCCTAAAAGACTTTTAGCACTGGAAGTAAAAATCAGTTACTATAAGCCAGTTTCAACTTAGTGTGAAGACCATGACAAGTTTGCTTTAAACATAGAATTTGACTGAGAACATCTGTAAATGGAGAACCAATACTCAGAATGTTCTTTAGCTACCACTCTCCCAAATATCAAGGGTGTACTAAACTTATTACCTAACCATGTAAATTAAGCAGTTGCAGTATCTGCACACAGAAGGAAAGACTGAATTAGAAGCTGCCTTCTTCAAAGTGTAGTGAGACCTCAGAACCACGCTAACTCTAACCTTAGTTACAAAGACAGAAAGTCCACCAAACACTGACTCCTACGTAACAACTATGACTCTCCTGCACACCTGTTATCTACTCAAATGATTAACTACCTTTACCTTCCTAGAAAAAGGTCTATTATTCAACATTAACACACCCTAATTTTAAATGTAATTCATTTCTTAAAAAAATAACACTGTCTTTGATCAGATAAAGAAAAAAAATGGCTTACAGAATGCCACACAACTTTTCATAAGCAGCTAGACAAATTTTCCCTTTTAGAAAAATTAGTCTGTATGCTACAAGTTTTAAATTATTAGAGTACTATAAGCATCTACAGTGCCACTTTATTTTTTCAAGGTATACTTAGACAACACAATTTAGATGCAAAAGCTTGATGTGAGAATATTAAAAAATGACCATGATAACATTTATCAATTAATGCCACTTCATTTCTTTAGTGGTTTAAGCACATTTTGGTAGGAGAAAGGCATTTTCAAAATGGAATACCAAATGACATACTACAAAAAACCTTCCAAAAAACAAAAAAGTCTGGGTTACCCAGATAAATAAATTTTTTGAATTAAAATACTACAGCTTTTAAGACACACAGACTGTAAGCATTAGAAAGACACAGAAGCGGCACTTACTGGTATAGTACAATCCCATTTTGAAGGCATGTAATGTTCTGAATATGTGAAAGAACAGTAATAGTATACAAAATACAATTGCATAAATTATGTTCCTCACTACTATATGAGGTCATTTTTAGACTCAAGATAAGAGTTTTATAAGTGTTAGTTTTAAGATCCTGAAAATTATAGAACAGTACATTCAAAGTCTGAATCAAGGAACTCTTTAGTGGTTCAGAATCCTCTGAGAATGTACTAACCAGGAATAAA